AAAAAATTAATAAAAAAAAATAAGAAGAAATTTAAAAATATTAACAACTGCTTAATAGCCAATAGACGGTGTGCAATTACACCCACTGTATACAAATATTGCTTGCTTGTGATACTTGGCAAGGGAAAGTAATTACACAATTTTATGAGTGCTATGCATGTATTGTGCGTTTGGCTATGTTGCTGGTGTTAGTGAAGACGTGGCCGACAGCTTGAATACGCGCATACATATATGTATGTATGCATGTATTTAAATTGTATTTCTATGATTTAGAGAAAAAACATTTACATGCATACATATTTTTCCAGTATTTGCATGTACATATGTAACGCTGAGCGCCAAAGAGATACCTACATATTTAAACGCATTTCGTATATATTATGCATACATATGTATGTACATGGCCCAACGAATTGTGCTCGCATACAAAAGCATAGAAGCAAATGTCCACTGCGCAAATCCCTGCAAAAGTATCTACCCCAGAATGCTGGCATTGCGCACAAGCTCAAAATCTCCAACGCCAACACACAACAGCCATAGCAAATCTATAATCAGCACACGGCACCAACACCAATACCGATGCGAACAAATACAACCGCAAGCACTCACACATACATTTGCACATACACACACACCTACAACCAACTGGCAGAGACAACTCAACAGCTAGGCYACGCTACGTTGCTGCTCTGCCGCCTATGGTTCTTTACTCATTCCAGCACACGCAGGCGTATGAGTGACACGACGACGGCAAGCATGACGCGTCGCGACAACTACGAATATGTACGACGCTGGCATTGTTTCTGTTCTGTGTGTRCGGCTCGTCAGTAACAATGACGTTGGCAGCACACACACAGATGCGCGCGCCAGCGACAGCGTCGACCCCAAACTGACTGTACGTTGMCGTCGCACGGTCGACGTTGACGCTGCCAGCCTTTATGAGCTTATGCCACTACACTTGCAGACTTGTATGCGAACAAATACATAGATGCGTTTATATGTATGTATGTATATGTGTGTATTGGTGTGCGTTTGTTGTTGTGTGCCATATTTGACAATTTATTGTTGCTATTCATGATAATTTGTTGCTGCCGTTGTTGGCTGAATAACTTTGTTGTATGTGTGTGTTGATTGCTATGTCATTTTGCTCGCTCGCTACTTASCTCAGTTTGCAAAGCGGGATAAAATGTTTTTAGTATAATATTTTGGTGTAAAATGTGGGGAAAATGTAATCAAAACTACGCACACACTAGATTTGATGGCACTAATTAGCCGATATGCTGAATTTTTTATGAAAAATTTAACATTATTTAATACATTTATATGTACATACATGASTGATGCGTAGAATTTTAAAAGCATCATTAATCTAATCTATGTAAAAATATGRTAAGATTAGAGCGATTACACACACCAACACCCACTCGTGGGCGTCACGTTAAATTCTCTTGTTATGTTAAAATTGATATAAATATACATATGTGTATGTACATACATACATACATATTATTCATATTTGTGAGCCAATACGCAAATTCAATACTCAAGTGACTTTAAGCAATTSAAATTAATATTAAAGAAATATTTGGGAGACACTGCTCCCGGCATGCCAGCTTTTGTTTCTTTGTTTTGATTTTGACAGCATGAGTAGCAATGCAAAATACTCGAAAACTATCGCAGTAAAAAGTATTTTGTGATTCACGCACTAGACTTATTGGCGTGTTCTTTGAGAAATATTCATTAATTATTTTATGTCAGTGTAATCAATAGTTCACTGACTATATAGTGTTTCATTTTACCTGGACTATGTGTGCATTCCATCATTAGTTACACATAGTTGTAATGTAACATATGTACATATGTTTATATTTATTTGCAAAACTATATATGTAAAGGACGCCCTGTTGGAAATTTGATTGCTATGTTTACATAGCTTTTAACGGGATGCTTGCCTGCTCGACTTGATTAATAAAAGCTGGGAAGTTATGTACATATGTATGTATGTATGTACACTCATGGCCACGCAAACCTTACCGCTAYACTTTCGTAAATTTTTTCGGACATTCGTTCGAGATTTTCTGCAATTTTTTTTTTTATATAAAAATAGCCGTCTTTCAATATATTGCAATATTTGCCCAAATAAAGTCATTATTGRGTTTACAGTAGATTTATATGTATGTATGCACATATTTACATACACATACATATGTCCCGCTATGCATATGCCTGTACATGTGCATACGTATATTTTTATATTTCTCAATACAACACACTCCTAGCGATAGCAATGCATCTTTTGTGATTACAATAACACAATGAATCAAATGTATTAAAATAATTATAAGGTTAAATAATTGTGATTGCATGTATGTACATACATGCATACTTACATACATATATGTACATATATGCAAATACTTACAAAAGTACATATAAATAATTAAAATAATATAATATTCATGTGCACCTGATGGATTATAAATACATAACTATGCATGTGTGTGCATAGCTTTACCTATGTATATATGTACCTATCACATGTATTTTTGGGTAGCTAATTAGGTAACTACGAAACCTCTATTGAACAAAACACATAAGGGTTTAATGACTATACAACTACAATATGCATATTTGTATACGTACATATAAGTGTATATATGTATGTACTTACATATAATGATAAACTACAATAATAGTTGAACATGACTATATACTTATGTTTTACATATGCAACCGCGTCTACATATAACTACTTGCGTATACACAAGCAATAGCCATAAAAAGCGCACTCCTTGTATCTATTAGCACTATTCATGTACATAAATACATATTAGGGTGGGTCGATTCAGGACTTTTTTCGATTCGGAATTTCTAATAGTGCGGAAAAGTTGCCTTAGTACTTCCTGATTCCAATGCAACTTTT